CTCCGTGCTGCCCCACCCCCGTTATTTTGCAGCAGATCTCCTAGATATTGATCATCTCACCTGTACATTTTTCTGAGTTGCTTCTGAAGCTGTGGGGACGCTCCGCCCCAAGCCAGCTACCTCTGTTCCTCTGCTGTCATCTCCCCCCGGGCCAGGATGAGGCCGTGCTCTCTTGTGGCCCTGCACACGGTGGGTGGCTGTATGTGGTGCTCGGGGACAAGCACAGCCTCCCCCCGCCGAAGGAGGCCCCCACCCCGGGACGTGGCTTTGGGGGCCGCCAGGAAGCCCAGTGGAGCGACTGGGAGCCTTCCTGCTCTGATTCCTGTGGCTTCGCTTGCTGCTCCATCTCTGTGTTAGTCTGCGTGCTAACAGCAAGCGCTGGTTTTTGTTTTCTTCCTTTATTTCCTAAAAGGTGGCGTTCACCAGCACAGTGTTCTGCACTGTGCTTTCTATTTTTGTCTGCGTCGGGTCTTAGTTGCGGCGCGTGGGCTCCTTGTTGTGGTGCGTGGGCTTCTCTAGTTGTGGCGTGTGGGCTCAGTAGTTGTGGCGCGCGGGCTTAGTTGCCCCGTGGCACGTGGGATCTTAGTTCCCCGGCCAGGGATTGAACCGGCGTCCCCTGCATTGCAAGACAGGTTCTTAACCACTGGACCACCAGCGAAGTCCCTGCACTGTGCTTTTTCACTTGATGTGTCTTAGATGTTGTTCCCTATTGGCTCAGAGAGAGCTGCCTCATTCTTTGTGGCCGCAGAGAGTTCCTGTGCACGGGTGGACCAGGGTGTATTGACTCCTCCCCTACTGATAGGTACTGGTGTCAGTTCAGGTCTCTGTTTGCAAACAGTGCTGCCATGAGTAACCTTATAGGTATATAAGTTTGCACCTTTGCAAGGGTATCTGTAGGATGATTCTCCAGGAGTGGCGTGGCTGGAGCAATGGGTACATGCATTTGTATTTTGGAGTTTTGACTGGTGTAGCCAAATTGCTTTCAAAAGGGGTTGTACCGGTTGCTGGGGACACCGCTGCTCGAGGGCGCGCCTGCTTCCCACGGTCCCCAGCGTGTGCTGTCCAGCTCGTGGTTGTTGGCCTCTCTGGTAGGTGAAAAATCTGTCAGCATACTTCCGTTTAATTTGAATTTCTCTTTATTCTGAGAATCACTGAGTGTGTAAGAATTCTGCACCTCAGTTTCCATCTTTGGGGAATGGACTGGAAGAGGCCTTCTTGGAGGGGCAGAATGGGGAATTCAGTGAGCTCCCACAGCGAAGGGCCCCTCCCCAGTCGAGGAGCCAGCCCAGCGGTAGGGAATGCAGGAGGACAGCATATGGGACCAGCTCCTGCCTCCGCTTCCAGCTGGAAAAGTGTCCCTGGGCAGGTGACTCGCCATTTGCAGGCCTCATCTGGAAGGCAGTGGGCTATAAGCCCTACTTCTCAGGGCTGTTAGGAGGTGTAAATGAGATCAGGTTCGTAAATCCCTTAGTCTGTCTGGGGGTAGGTGCAAAACGATGGCTTTACCAAGCACCATAGAGGCCCCTGCACACGGTGTGTTCCCTCCCCTCCTTCTCTGCTGTGCGCTGGAGAGGATTCTGGGCGTGGAGGGGGATGGGGAGGCCACGTTTGGAAATGCAGGGCATTGGCTGGAGGGATGGGGTCAGAAGCACGGACCTGGATTTAAATGCCCCCCACCCCCCGGGCTGAGGAACTTTCCTCCTCGGCGCCTCTGTCTCCCCGTGTGTCCAGCCTGTGTTCTCGGTTGCAGACCTGGAAACAGATCCCTGAAGGACTCATAGCAGAGGAGTATATGGGGGGAGGATGTCACCAGGCAGGTAGAGAACCAGGCCTAGGAGGGGTGGGAGCGGGCAGCTGCACACCTAAGGTAGGCGCTTCCTCAAATACAGGGAAGGGGCTGAGAGTGCCTCCCCCACCCTCGAAAAGTGACCAGTGCCACAGTGAAGAATGACGGCCGCATCCCAGGGTTCTCATGGCAGTGACCTTGGAGGCGGCCATGGACAGCGGTGAACAGGTGGTGCGATGCCTGGTCTCCTGGGGTCTCTGGATGTTCACAGTTGGGTGCTGGGTGCTCCATGGCATCCTTCTGTGGCTGCCTACCAGTCCTTGGTACCCGTGGCCTGGCCGAGTGAAGTACCCCCGTGAGAAATGCCTGGTCGTGAGAAGCCTCTGAGGGCCCCGCACACTCTGATTCTGTGCCCAGGGCAACACGGGTCAGGGAATGAGGAAGAGCCGCACGTCGGCAGCATGAGACACGTGGCTCTGCAGAGACAGGGGCCGCAGAGCCTCATGTCTGCGGCGGTGGTGGGACCCCCGCCCACAGCTTTGTGGGTACTCCCTGCCTCCTCCCTACTTGGGGCCCAGGAGCCCTTGCGTTGCTCTGCCTCTGTCCTGCCCCCGCCCCACCTTTGGGGCGGCCCAGGCCGTGGGAGGGATGTGTGTGGCGTTGTGGGAGTGCAGGAAGCATCCGGGCCCCTGAAGGGGATGTCTGGAAGTGGCTACTCTGGGCTAAGCAGGCCCATCTGTGACCTCATCATACGCGCACCCTCACTGCCTGAGTAGGGGGCGCCGAGAGAGAGGGAGTCTTCCCTGAGCTCACCCGGCTGGCCTGGGCAGAGCTGGGGACTCAGCTGCCTGTCCTTCTGACTTCAAGGACCCACCGCCTGCCCCAGCCTCTGCCTTCATTTGCTCTGTCAGCAAATGGTCAGCACCTGCTGTGCACCCAGTGTGTGCCCTTCTGGGGTTGCTTCAGTGAACGAAAGCAGTGACATCCTTGCCCTCCTTGCAGCATAAGCACACACAGATCCTAAAGCTTTCTGTTGGTCGTGAGTAGTGCCGCACGGAATGAAGCCGGGTACAGGGATGGACAAGGACACACACAGAGTGAAGCCGGGTACAGGGATGGACAAGGACACACACAGAGTGAGGCCGGGTACAGGGATGGACAAGGACACACACAGAGTGAGGCCGGGTACAGGGATGGACAAGGACAAAGGGGGCTGTTTTCTGTAGGGTGGTAGGGGAAGGCCTCCGAGGAGGCAGTGTTGGAGCAGAGACCTGCAGGCAGGGAGGGAGAGGAGACCATGAGGATATAAGGTAGAAGAGTGCTCTGAGCAGAGGCGCAGCAGGTGCAAAGGCCCTGAGGCCTTATATCCAGGTGGCTCTGTCACTGATGAAGATCGGGTGGGGACCTTGACTACTGTAGCCCCTGAGCCGGGTCTGCCCTCGCACCTCTAGGAAGACACCCCCAGTCCATGCTCAGCGGCTGAGGCCTCCATGGGTGGCCTCCCCCAGCCTCCTTGCCAACCCCCTCCTCTCACATACCCTGGACCCTCCCAGTCCTGCAGCTCACCACCCAGACGCACAGTGCAGTCTCTGCTTCTGTACTTTGTCCACAAAGCTCCCTCTGCCCAGGATGCCTTTCCCCCTTTGCTGTCTCACTCTTCAAGACCTTCTCTGGGAGACGTTTCCAGATGCTCTCTTCCCAGCAGATCCCAGCCGGCCTGTCCTCCATGCCTCCGTGATCCCTCCTCACTCCCTCTCACGGCTGGTGATGCTGCGTTGCGAATGCTTCTGGGTTTGTCTCCTTGTCCACACGGGGGCTCTGGGATAGGGCCAGCATGTGGGGGAATTGGTGGCTGCTTACTAGGGGACTTTGGGGGAGGGGAGAAGGCTGTCCCACACCTGCACTTCTCACCTGAAGCCACCGGTACCTGTGGATGTCCTCTGGAGACCCGGTCTCAGCAGGTGCTGTGGGGAAACCCCGGAGGGCGTCCCTGCTCAGGGCAGGACTGGCTCTCCAGTCCCCAGAAACCACAAAGAGAAAGACGGATCCCTCTGGCAACCCCCCTGTCCTTCTGTTAGAGAAGGCTGCGTTTCTGCCGCCCACCAGACCCCTGTGTCCAGCCTGAAGCTGAGGGGCCTGAGGACCGCAGGGCACCAGCGTCAGATGGGAACAGTCCTGGCTTTGACACCCCACCCCTTCCCAGCTGCATGACCCTAGGAGACCAGTTAGCATCCCCAGAGGTTTCCTCCTCTGTGCATTGATAGGTAGTGCGCTCGGGGTATCTCTGCTCTGCGGGACTCTGATGAGGATTAAAGATTCAGCCACAGGGTGCCCGGCAGGATGACTGGTAGGGAATCGGGGTGAAATAACGAGCACCTTGCACCTTTCTATACCGGGAGCACTCTGAATTTGAGAGCCTGCCTCACAGAATGAGTAGTTTCTGGCCGGGTCTGGGCCTTGGCGTCCCTCTCGCCTTTCTCCGGGCCTCCTTGGTCTTCTGCACGTGGAGCAGGCCCCCACGCCCACCCCCCGCCCTGCAAGGTCAAGAGGGCTCAGTGTACCTTTGAGGCCTGGGACACTGGCCGGATGAGAGCTCCTCCATCTGTCCGTCACTCCTTCGCCCTATCTTGGTGCCCTCTCTGTGCCTGGCCCTGGTCGGGGCAATGCTGGGGACACGCATGGACCACAACCCCGGGGCTCCCAGTCCAGTGGGGGGAGACAGACTGGTCCCTTAGACAGTGACAGTTCAGTGTGGGCAGGGCTGAGGTGGGGGAGCCCAGAGGAGGGGTCATGGAGGGCTCCCTAGAGAAGGGGACCCTTGAGCCGAGGGTTGAAGTCAGAGTGTGATGCGTAGGAGGAGGGAGGGAATGAGGTGTGATGAAGCACTGGGCCTGCACTGGGAGGAAAGGGAAGAGGGGGGTGAGGCTAGAGCACAGTGCCCGGTGCGGGGGGGGGGAGGGTCCCGTTCATGGACAAGGCTCCTAGCTCAGTCCGGAGCCCTCACAGCGCCCTTCGAGGGCCTCCCTGGGTCGTCTGCATGCCCCCCTCCGCAGATGAGAAGCCCTGAAGGGCAGGGCACCCGGTCAGAGCCTCCCTGTCCTCCTAGTGCCAGCGCAGAGCTTGGCATGCAGTCGGCCTCAGGCGATATTTACTGATGAATAGCAAGACGGTATCTAAGTTGGCATCCTGGATTAGAAGCCTAACTCCAAGGGGCTGAAGCCGAAAGGGGGAATTTAGTGGCTTATGGATCTGAGGAGCCTTGAATAGTTTCACTTCAGGCCTCGCTGGATCCAGGGTCTCAGACAACGTCGTCCGTCGGGACTCTGTCTCTCTTCACCTCTGAGGTCACCTTTCCAGTGAGTCGGCTTTGTTCTCGGGAGGTTCTCTCGTCTTGGTGGCTGCCAGGGTGGCTGCCAGCAGCTCCAGAAGTGGGAGGCGACCTCAGCGACCCCTGCGGGCAGAGAGCTCTTATTTCCCGATAGTTCCAGCACAGGCCCTGGGAGGGGCTGTGGCTGGCCCTACACGGGTCAGCCACTGTGACAGGGGCTTTGGGAGGACAGTGGGGAGTGGAGGTAACATGGACGTCCCCCCCTGGGGTCCTGGGATGGCGTCACGAGGGAGGTGGTGGGACCAGTGCCCGTCTACCAGGGAAGCAGGAGGCGAAGCGGGCCGGTTGGTGCTTTCACAGGCCAGGGCAGCCTCACCACAGGGGCAGGTGTGCGCCTGACGCGCCGTCTGCCTGGGGGACTGCTGGGGGTGTAGGCTTTAGCTCCCAGCTTCCACGTGCCTTTTCAGCGCTGGCCTGGTCCCCTCTGAAGGTGTGAACCCAAGCGGCCTGGGTAGGGCAGGACTGTGTTCCACAGACAAGAGCCTGGGGAGTCCTGCAGGAAAGAGCCTGGAGAGCCGGGGTCCTGGGGTCCACATGGGCCTGGTCGCCCACTTGCCACGAGACTCTCAGTTTCCACTGTCAGGTGGGGTGACGGCGATGGTGCCCTTCCCTCTTGGGGAAGGAAGGGCGTGACAGAGCCTCCCAGGGTAGGCTCTGCTGATGCAGTGGCCAGGCCCTGGGGAGTGAAGGCCACCTGCAGTTAGCTAATGGAGGGGGTTAGAACCCAGGCCTGGCTCTGGGCCGCCCAGCAGCTTCTGCCTCGCTCGTCACCTCTGGTGTACCCAGTCCTGGCGGCCTCCCTGTTAGGGGACCCAGTGGGCTCCCCCTCCCCAACCCTGCTCTCCTACAGATTCAGTCCTCCCTAGACCTCACGTAGTTCCTGGCGCTGCTCTGCACCAGCCCCGGTGGCCCCTGTCTCAGGCTGAGAGCAAAGTCCTTCCTGAGGCCGTGTCCCCGTCGCCTCCCGCCTCCGCCTCCTGCCACGCTGGCTTCCTGGTGCCCGGGATCCTGCCAAGCCTGTTCCCACCCTGTCACACTTCCCCTCCCAGGGGCCACTGCCACCGCTGTATTTGTATCTGTCTCATGCGTGTCTCCAACTAGCTGTTGAAGCCCCAGCAGTGAGAGTTGGCCCCCTACCCCCTTGTCCCCACTCCGTCCCCACCCCCCACTGTTGCTTCCTGGTTTTTGACTCCCACTTGAATGAGTACCAGCTCCAGGCTGGCAGGGGTGGCCTGAGTCATCGCCCCCTGGTGCCCAACCTGTCCTTGCATCTTGTGGGTGCCTTTGCACCTGTGTGCAAAGGAGAGACAGACTTTTCTGCCTGTCACCTGATGCCTGGCCTCAGGTTTCTGTCTGTCCCTTTGTGAGGGCAGGTGGGAGGGGGAGCAGTCTCCGCTTGCCCCACAGCCTCTTCCTGGGAGACCGGTACCCGCTGCACACAGCAGCGTCCCTCCCCAGGGCTCAAACCTTCGTCTTGGCCCCGGCCCCTGCCTCCCGCTCAGGCCTGTCAAGGTAATGTGAGAATGAAGCCGTGTTCCAGTTACAGAGCAAGACAGGTCTGGGTGTGCGTTCCAGTACTGCCGCTCCTGGCTCCGTGGCCTTGGACAGACGGCTTGCCCTCTCTGCACTTGCTTCCCTCTATTACGAAATGGAGACAGAGCTGCCAGTTTCATAGGATCGCGCAGCTGGCTGAATGAAACTGTGCGTAGGAAGTGCTCAGAGTGGTGTCTTAACACGGAGTAAGTGCCTGATACCTGGGAGTGGTGACCACGGCCACCACCATCGTCATCTTTTTCTCAAGCTCTGTCTCCTGTTGAGTCAGGCCCCGCACTGGGTAGCTACTTGGCGGTGCCCTCACGTCCCTTATCTCCTGAGACCCTACAGATGTCCCTTTCAGAGAGGGAAAGAGGTTGTTGAGAATGTTTTTCACGGTCTCACCAGGACAAGGATTGGAATGCAGGTCCTCTTATTCAAAGCCGTGACCTTGGCACATCTCATCCCGTGCTCTCAGCCCGTGCTCTCAACCGTGCTGTGAGATGCCCCGTCTCCGGTGGGCAGCGTGAGATGCTGCCCGGGGAGGGCCTTCCCAAAGTCGAGCTCGCAGAGCACGGGAGGGAGGAGCCAGGATCCAAGCCCCCTGACTTCGGGCTGGAGTGGGGCCCTCACCACTTTGCAGCCCCGCCCTCTGGAACCTGGCCCCAGAGCTCCGACTCGGGCCTCCCAGCCTGGCCCAACCCTAGTGTCCAGCCAGCACACCGCATGGGCGGCCCTCCTCCTCCCCAGCTCACCGCCCGCACGCTGAATCCTCAGGGTAGACCGGGCACACATGCATGTCTGTGGGTGCCCAGCTGCAGCCTGGAGGGCCGGGCCCCATGCTTTGGAGCCACTGCGGCCTGGGAGAGCGGCCCACTGACTCGCCGCAGCCTGTGTGGTTCGCTTAAGGCTGGACAAGGCGAGGGCGGATGACCTGAGGTAGAGGTCTTGATGATTTCGTCACAACATCACAAATGAGCAAGTGTGTGGCGGCCGGGGCTGAGCCAGCCGGCCTGGGCCAGCCCTGCCAGCTTGTACAGTGCTTGGGTGGCGCCTGGCGCGGCGGAAGTGCTGTCTCGATGCTCCACGTTATTTCTCCGAACCACCTGTACTGCCGTTCCCTTACCACTTTTTTTTTAATTGGTTCATTTAAAAAATTTGAATATGTTTCATCTCATTCGTTTCCAAGTGATGGTTTTGATGTGATAGTTCTTTCTTCTTAGTATATGAATGAAACACACACATACGTAATGATTACTGCGAGGTTCTTCCTGACCCACCTGACACTCACGTGTGCCCACTGGTGACGGGCCAGGCCTGGGGACGTGCTCGTGATGCTGTTGGGGAAATCGAGGCAGGGTTGGGGTGCCTGCAGGCTGCCGAGCCCACGCCACAGTGCACCGACTGAACCCCCGCTTCTGTTCCTTTAGTGTCTTTCCCCAGTGCTGTCCCCACCTTGAACATGTGTCTCAGCATCAGAGGAAAGTGACAAGATGCACTTGTCATTCTTGTCTCCAGTTGCCCTGGGCCTTGGACCCCCATGTCTCTGAGTATGTCCATCTTTCCTACCCCCTGCTCTCAGCTTCCCCTGCTGTACATGAGTGGGCAGATGCAGCCTCCCCGAACCCTGGCTGTGACCTTGTGTGAGGCTGTGCCTGCATCCAAACCCCATGGGCGCCTGGCTGACGGGGTGGCTGGATGCTACCTGTGGCTGGTATGGAGGTGGCAAGGTCAGAGACCCTGGGCCTTGAACTCACCAGGAGGCTCGTCAGAACAAAGACCGACCCACTGGGCAGGATCCCAGGGGACTTCAGGAGCTGAAAGTCCTAGGCGGTCAGGGAGGGCTTCCTGGAGGAAGGGATGTCAGAGCTGAACACCTAAAGGACCAGCTGCAGTTTGAGAGATTGCTTAGGGCTCTTATTCCCTGTAGACTGTCTAGGACAGCGGTCCCCAACCTTTTTGGCACCAGGGACTGGTTTCGTGGAAGACACTTTTTCCACGGACCGGAGGTGGAGCGGGTGGGGGTTATGGTGCAGGCGGTAATGCGGGTGATGGGGAGCAGCAGATGAAGCTCACTCGCTGGCCCGCTGCTCACCTCCTGCTATGCGGCCCGGTTCCTAAACAGGCTGTGGAACGGTAGCGTTCCGTGGCCCGGGAGTTGGGGACCCCTGGTCTAGGACACCGAGAACTGCTAGTGACGACCCCATGTGTACCCAGTACCCTACTTCATCCCCATCTGACATGAGCAGGCCAACCCCACCTTGGCCTGGGGGCCTTTACTGAAGGGAGTGTGTCTCTTTGGCCATCTGATAAAACCTGTGTGCCCTTTCTTGGAGTGATGATTTTTAAAGGCAAAAAGTAGGATTACAAAGGATATCAGTTAAAATACAGTTTATTAAATATTTAAAAAATCGTGATCTAGTAATTATGCTATTCCTTGTTGACACCTGAAATAACAGGATGTAGCAGCAGCTCGAATGACTTCCAAAGTAGTGATGAGCATTCAGAATCTACAAAAACTGTTACGTGATGTGAAAACACCTGCCATTTCTATTGAGGACAGAGTCCCAGGGTCTGCTAAACAATATTTCTTTTTTCTCTCTTTTTTGTGCTGTGTTAGTAAGAAGGAAATGCTGAATTTCATTTCAGTTCAGTTAGTGCAAATAAAAAGGCAGTTTTTCCCCACTCAAGTTCATGGACCCCCTGGGGGTCAGTGGCCCCTGCTTGGCTGGACTCCCTGAGGCAGCTGCAGGCCAGCTCCTGTTCCCCCGCCCGCCCCCAAGAGCTGGGAGCCACCAGGCACACGATTGCACGTCAGAGAGCTCCCTTGCTAGGCCTGCGGGGGGGCAGCTGACACTGGGGAAGGCTGCTGATCACCTATAGCTTCACCCAGGCTCCACCCCGCCTGCTTCCACCCAAGGAGGAAGAGAGGGGCAGAGGACCGGGCCTGCCCTCTGGGAAGCCTGGGGCCTCTGTCGGCTTCTTTCCTCCAGCAGCCCCACCCAACACAGTGGAGAGAGTTCTAGAGCAAATATTTGACTCTGCCTTTTACCAGTTGCCTGACCCCAGGGAGGCAGCTTTCCTTCCCTGGAAGACAGGGTGCTGCTTGATGAGGTCGGGGCATACGGCCCCCGGCCAGAGCAGTGGCCGGAGGGAGCATCCTCTCAGAGATGCTTGCCCAGAAGCTCAGCAGGGGCTCCCGCTGGCCCATCTGCTGCTCGGCTGGCCCTGAGAGCTTTCTGCTCCCAGGCCTGACCCTGTCCCTCCCCTGCTCAGAGCCTTTTCTTCCTGCCCTCCTGGTTGCCCCAGCACAAAATCCAAGCTCTTATAGCCAAAAACTGAAAAGAATACAGGTATCTTTTCACCTGGCGAATGGATAAACAAAATGCATACATCTGACAGTTACTACGTAGCACTACAAAGGGACCGAAACTCAAAATTGTTATGTTCCAGAAAGAAGCTGGCCGCCAGAGGTCACATACTGTTTACCACCATTTTTGTGAAATGTCCGAAAAAGGCAAATCTGTGCAGACAAAGGCCAGCCTCACTTTCCACGTGGTGACAGGCCCTGAGCTTCCCGAGGACAGGGCTGTGCCGTTGTTGGGTTTGGGCTGCATCCCCTTGTTCATTTTGGGAGCCACTGCCTGTAACCATGGGGCACCAGGGCCGTGTCAGGGACTCTGATGGCTGCCATATCCCTGGGACAGGAAGCCCCGTCCTGAGTACCATCCAGGAATATTTCGCTGTTGAGGGAGCGGGGAGTCTGAGAAGCCACGTGGCATCTCAGTTAAGAGCTGAGTTCCGGCTCCACCGCTTAGCAGCTGTGTGGCCTTGGGCAAGGTGTGTCACTTTTCTGAGCTCCACTTCCTTATAAGGTCGAAGTGTGGATTCATTCTCTCATTCAAAAACAAACCCGCACAGATCAAAACACCTGCTCTGGGCCTGGCGCTGTGCTGGATGGTGTTGGGGACACAGTGGTGACCAAGACAGCCCCAGCCCTGCCCTTCTGGGACTCGCAGTCTAGAGGGGCAGACAGCTGACAAGTAGAAAAATGGCATGATAGTAGTTGTGTAATGTTCACGTGAAGGTGTTTGGGGAGCCTTGGGGAGTTGGGGAGGGTGGCGCTGGCTTGGTTTGGGGCCATCCGGGGACACCTCCCCAGAGCAGCAGTCACAGCGAGGCACCTCAAGGCAGGACTGAGCTCAGTGGGTTGCTGGAAGGAAGGTTTATCGTGGAGGGGGAGGGGGAGGGGGGATGGCACAGGCCAGTGGGCGGGAGTGGGGGAAAGAGACCCAGGGGTGTGGGAAGTCACAGGCCTGGGTCCTCTCTGCCTGCAGCCCAGAACGTGACCGTGGATGAGGTCCTCGGTGCCTACAAGCAGGCCTGCCAGAAGCTAAGCTGCAGGCAGATCCCCAAGCTCCTCAGGCAGCTCCAGGTAATGCCGCGTGCGGGGGGCGTGGCGGGTACCCTCCCCCCGCCCCCCAGCCCGCTCCGGGCAAGAGAGGGTGTACAGAGCACTCCCCCCGCCCCGAGCCTGGTCGGCCAGCCAGGGGACTGTAAAAGTAATCGGGCTCTTCCTGAATGTTTAAGCAGTACAGAATTATGTGAAGTAGGAAGTTACTTGTCAAGAATCTTCCACTCCCCAAAGCAATTCTCTTCCCCAGGGGAAAAGCCATGTATACCAAATTTAAAAGTCTGAATGACAAAAGTAATGTATATTCTCTGACTTGAAAAAAAAGTTAAAGTACTACAGATATAAAAAGCAAAACCTGTTTCTCACTTCTTGCCCACGTCCCATGCCCCAGGAGTCCCCGCTGGTGACAGCTCGGGGTTTTCGTCCCCTGGACTTTCTGTGCCTTTATAAATAGAGAACGAGTCACTATCTAGAGGTACACAGACGCGAGGGCAGGTTCCGTTTTTATATGACGAGGGTGTTGCTGTACCCCTGGCCTGCTCGCCCCCAGCCGTCTCTCACAGGTGCCTTTCCTGCCACCTGTCCAGCCTGGTCGTGCTGGTAAAGCACTGCCTCAGTGCCTTCCCTCTGGATGGCTCATTCCAGAATGTTCCAAGGTTGCTTGTTTCAGAGCCCCGGCTGCCCCACTCTCAGGGAGGTCCAGCCTGGCGCCTGCAGGTGTCCTCCTGCCTTAACCACCATCCACTCTGCTTTCCCAGGAGTTCACGGACCTCGGGCACCGTATCGACTGTCTGGACCTGAAAGGTGTGTGTCTGGACGGGGCCGGGGCCCCTTGGGTAGCGAGCAGGGAGGTGTGGGCGCCCTTCCTGAGGTGAGGCAGGTGCTGCGAGCCGTGGGGAGGGGCAAAGGACCTTTCCTCCCCCGCTTGGCCCGGAGCCCGTGTCTCCACCCAGCCCCTCAACCCACACGCAAGTGTACACGCACAAGGGCACTCGTAGATGTGCACGCACACGGCGCTCTGTATCGTCCCAGGTGAGAAGCTCGACTACAAGACCTGCGAGGCCCTGGAAGAGGTCTTCAAGAGGCTGCAGTTCAAGGTCGTGGATCTGGAGCAGACGAACCTGGACGAAGATGTGAGCAGCCTGCCACTGCCCATACCCACTCCCTGAGCTCCCTGCCTCTTAGAGGTTTGGGGGGAGGGCATGGCAGGAGGAGGGAACCCCCTTGGACCAAGGCTGGGCGGGACCTCTTGAGGGACAAGACTGGGGAGATGTCCACTGTGGCCAGAGTGAGCGGGGGATGTTGGACTGTGTGTGAGGCCCAGAGAAGGGTCTCACAGACCCACCCCAAAGGCAGGGGTTTGTAAGCAAGGGAGAGACTTGGGGAGCCAAGCCGGAGGGGAGGTGTATGACCACCAGGAAGGAGCCTTTCCAGGAACGCGTGCCCCCCCGCCCGCTGAGAATCACAGTGCCTGCAGGGGAGAGAGTTTAAGAAACATTCTGAAAGCAGCCCCCCTGTTTATGCCCAGGTGTCCTCACCTCCCCAGGTCCGGAGGCCACCAGGAGCCCGGGGGAGGGCTCCTGGAGACCTGAGGCCCAGGGACGGCAGAGGCCTGTCCTGGTCACGCAGCACATCACTTAGACCGCTCTGGGGGGCGAGTAAGAGGAAGCAGACCGGCTGCAGCAGGACAGGGGAAGGGTTGGTTGCCGGAACCCAGAGGTGCCAGAGCAGCACCAGGGCTCTCCCGCCCCCAGTCGCTCAGCCCCTGCCTCCTGGCTTCCCCGGGCAGCCGCACCCTGAGGCTGAGCCCCGCTGTCTCTGCCCAGGGTGCCTCAGCCCTCTTCGACATGATCGAGTACTACGAGTCGGCCACCCACCTCAACATCTCCTTCAACAAGCACATCGGCACCCGGGGCTGGCAGGCCGCCGCCCACATGATGCGCAAGGTGGGTGCCCCCTACCCATTCCCTCTCCAGGGCCCCCAACCTGTAGGGCCTGGGTCCACGAGCCGTCAGAGGGTGCTGGGCCCCAGCCTGCAGGCCAGTGAGGAGGCAGTGCCAAGAGGAACCCTGCTGCAGGCCCGCCCCGGCCCCTTCTCCCCCTTCAGGCGTTTCCCCTCCTCCTCCACTTGCCTGTAACGTGTCCCTTGGAGGCGGCTGTGGTCACCATTCCCGTTTCACTCACATACGGGGCGTCTCTGCCACACACGAGTCAGCGAGCTCAGCTGTCACCAGCACTGCCTCGCTCACCCCCGCGGCCCCAGGCTGGCCTTCCCTCACCAGCCAGTGTCCCCAGCCACAAAACCAGGTGGCCCTGCTGCTCCCGGGGATACTGGGACGTAGGGCGGGAGGTCCCCCGGAGCGGGGAGGGCCGGGGCCAGCCTGACCCAGCCCCACACCTGCCACGCAGACAAGCTGCCTGCAGTACCTGGACGCCCGCAACACGCCCCTGCTGGACCACGCGGCGCCCTTCGTGGCGCGTGCCCTGCGCATCCGCAGCAGCCTGGCGGTGCTACACCTGGAGAATGCCAGCCTGTCAGGGCGGCCCCTCATGCTGCTCGGTGAGCCCCAGGGCGGTGTGCTGGTGGGCTCGGGCTGTTGGCCGGGTCCCCTGGGCCTGGCCAGTCACAGTACCCTCCCCTTCTCCCCCAGCCACGGCCCTGAAGATGAACATGACTCTGCGGGAGCTGTACCTGGCCGACAACAAGCTCAATGGCCTGCAGGACTCGGCCCAGCTGGGCAACCTGCTCAAGTTCAACTGCTCCCTGCAGATCCTGGACCTCCGTAACAACCACGTACTGGACTCAGGTGTGTGCGAGGGCCGCGCGCCCCCACCCAACCCCAGTCGCCCAGCACCCACTGTGTGCCCAGCCGGGTGCTCGTGGTACGAGAAGCACAGTAGTGGCCGAGATAGTCCCAGCCCTGCCCTCGTGGTGACGCCTCAGACCGGGCTGGGCTGTGGGAGCCCAGGGCAGGTGTCTGACCCAGTCTGGGGATCAGGGAGGAATCCTGGAGGAGGGAACAGCTCAGCGCTTCCTTCAGGATGAGGTGGGGTATTGAGCAGATAATTGAAATAATTCAATCTGGGGAAAGTGCCCTGGAGGAAACAAGGATGTTGGGATAAAGGGTCAACTGAAAGCTGTTTAAGGTGTGCAGGAAGGGGCCTCTGGGCGGTAATGAGGAGGCTGGGGTGGAACCAGCCGTTTTAAAAGCCTAGGCAGAGAATCCAGGCAGAGGGAGTAGCAAGTGCAAAGGCCCTGAGGTGGGAAAGAGCTTAGATATTAGCTATCTGGGTGGGGGGAAGAGCCCTGGTGAGCCAGGAGGTGAGTGAGAAGCGAAGAGGGAGTAGTCAGCAAGGCCTTGCCAGCGGGAGGAATTTGATTTCGTCCCTGTTCACCGTCGAGCAGAGTCCCCTGGCCTCAGTGTGGACAGGGTTGCGGGAGAGGGTGCAGAGTGGGACAGTGAGGCCAGTGCCCTCCGGCAGGGCAGCTGGGCCCGGACACTACGTGTACTGAGCACCTCCCACGCGCGGGGCCTGTCGGCTCGGGGTTCACAGCCGTGAGTGCGGCAGGGGTCTCTGCCCTCCGGAGAGACAAAGCCAAGATATCTTAATGGACTGCTGAGTCTGTCGGATGGTGAAATGTGCTCTGGAGAAAAATAAAGCAGTGATGGCGGGCTGAGCTGTCTGCCGAGGTTAGGCTGACCGGGATTGTCCCGTGAGAGGGGGAGATTTGAGCAGAGATCTGAAACAGATGGTGGAGGCCTTCATCAGGGTGTCCAGAGGAGGAACGTTCCCGGCCCAGGAGTCGGGGAGCTGTGTGTGCCAGGCCCAAGGCAGGGCGGGCAGTAGCAGGAGGTGTCAGGGCCAGAGCCTGTGGGGCCGGGCAGGCTGGGGCAGGGGCTTCTGAGTGCTGGTGGGGTGGCTCCCGGGCCAGTGTCCCCCGGGGGGATTCCCCGGCCACAGACAGGACTTGCCCACGGGCCTCCCTAGGTCTGGCCTACATCTGCGAGGGCCTCAAGGAGCAGAGGAAGGGGCTGGCGACCCTGGTGCTGTGGAACAACCAGCTCACGCACACGGGCATGGCCTTCCTGGGCATGACGCTGGTGAGTCGGCCGGAGAGGGGAGGGGGCAGCGCGGTCCGGCCCAGCACCTGTCCCACCCCCGGCTCTCGCCATCTTCCGGCTGTCGCGGCTCCCCGTCCTGCTCGTCCTACCAGTTCAGGAACCTGCTGTCTTCCTCCAGCCCTGTTTGGTCTTTGCTTCAGCTTCTGCACCCTCTTTCCCTTGAGGAAAGTAGCCCTTCTTTCATTGTCTCTCTGCATCCAGCACCATAGCCTGGTACAACGCTTTGTACGAGGTGAAAATGCTTTGCATAGAAAGTTAGCATTTCTGGGAGCCATCAGGAAGTCTTAGATCTTTCCGCTATGTGGTATTTAAAGCCAGCCACAGGGTACAGAGACTCAGACCCAGGTTGAGAATTGTCCACGGTCAGGCCTGTGCCCAGAGTCCTTGGGCTGCTGGCGAGGGCAGAGGCTGGGCCCGGGCTGTGGGGACAGGGGCCTGGCTGGATGCTCGGAGGGCTGCCGAGTGGACGGGGCAGCTGGCTCTTGGGAGACTTCTGAGTACACGAGGGATTTGGCCCGAAGCGGGAACGTGCCGGTGTTCGGACTGGGGCGCCCTGCCGAGGAGAGAGCGTGTGCGTTTGCCTCGTTCCTGACTGGCCTCCTGGGCCTTTCCTGGCTCTCGGGCGCCGCTCCCTCCAGCCGCACACACACAGCCTGGAGACGCTGAACCTGGGCCACAACCCCATTGGGAACGAGGGCGTGCGGAACCTCAAGAACGGCCTCATCGGCAACCGCAGCGTGCTGCGCCTCGGCCTGGCCTCCACCAAGCTCACGTGCGAGGGTAGGGCGCGGGGCCGGGCGCGGGAGGCGGGCTGGCCAGGCCGGGGGGCGGCCAGCCGGGTGTGGGCCCGTGGCCAGCCCCTGCGGTCCCCCTCCCAGGCGCGGTGGCGGTGGCGGAGTTCATCGCCGAGAGCCCCCGCCTCCTGAGACTGGACCTTCGGGAGAACGAGATCAAGACGGGCGGGCTCATGGCACTGTCGTTGGCCCTCAAGGTGAACCACTCTCTGCTGCGCCTGGACCTTGACCGCGAACCCAAGAAGGAGGCGGTGAGTGCGCTCTTCCCTGCGGGCGGGTGGGGGGCTGGCTGGCCTGGGGGCAGCCCCAGGACCCGCTGGGCGCGGGCCACCCAGAGCCCGAGCCAGGCCCGCTCTGTCCACAGGTGAAGAGCTTCATTGAGACGCAGAAGGCGCTGCTCACTGAGATCCAGAACGGCTGCAGGCGCAACTTCGCGCTGGCGCGGGAGGAGCAGGGGCAGTGCCTGCAGCCGTCGGCCTCCATGGCCGAGATCGCTGTCTCTGAGCCCCAGCCAGACGCCGGCGCGCCCGCGGAGGAGCCTGCCACCGAGGCGCAGGAGAACGGGGGCCCCGGCCCCGGCGCCGGGCCGGACTCAGACTCAGACTCAGACTCCGAGGGGGAGGATGGGGAGGAGGAGGATGGGGACAGGGCTGAGGCCCCCTGCCCCGCCCTGGTGCCCCCCACGGACTCCCTGGGCCCTGGGGACAGGAGCCCCCCAGGCTGCCCCTCCTCCCCCACCGAGCAGCGCATTTCCGTGTCCAGCCCGGGCCGGGGCCACAAAGTGTTTGTGGTGACCCGGGTGGAGAGTCCACCCGAGAGGGCAGAGCCTCCTGTGCCACCCGCCTCTCCTTCCCCACCTGCCCCTCCTCGTCCTCCATCCCCACCTGCCGTATCCTTCCTGCCCACCTCACCTGCCCGGACGCCAGCTGAGGCCGTCAGCACTCGGGACCCAGGGTCGTCTGAGCCTCAGCCGGAGCCGCCCCAGTCAGGGCCACCGCTGCCCAACGGCCTGAAGCCCGAGTTCGCTCTCGCACTGCCCCCGGAGCCGCCCCCAGGGCCCGAGGCCAAGGTGGGCAGCTGTGGCCTGGAACACGGTGAGAGGACCTCTGGGGCCAGGTGACTGGGGCCCCTGTGTGCTGTGTGTGACCCCGGCCGAGCACCTGCTTGTTGGTGTGCCTCGGTTTCCCCCTCTTTAAAGTGGCCCTTGAAGGGGCAGGGACAAGCGGGGCTTGATCCTCAGTCCCCGCCTCACTTCCCTCGGATCCCGGGGAGCTCCTTGGGGGCGGGGCACGCAAGTTCTGTTGACTCTGTCTGATGGTCTCATTGGTACCTAGGCCTGTGCTCCCCTGCGGCTCTAGCTGAGGCAGGGCTGGTACCCCCCAGCCCACCCGCCTGACTGGAGGCCGCCCACCCTTCTTCTCGTGCAGAGCTGAGCTGCTCCAAGAACGAGAAGGAGCTCGAGGACCTGCTTCTGGAGGCCAGTCAGGAATCTGGGCAGGAGACACTGTGACACCTGAGGTGCGGTGAGGGCCTGGGGCCCCGGGAGCTGGGGAGCCAGTGACGGAGCGCCTGGCTCTGACAGGCGCCCCCCTGCGATCTCTTCTCCCTAAGTTCCCTTCTTCCGGTCCGTCTTTGAAGAGCTGAGGCCAGAGCCATGAGAATCTGCTCACCCTCACCCCCAGCCTTCCTGAGGCCTGGGACCCCAGGGGGTGGGGGGCCTTCCTGGGGACCCCTGCCCCCCACAGCAACACTACACGGGGTGCAGGAGCTGCAGGGAGTGGCCCCCCCCCGCCCTGACTTAAGCACTTCTATTTATGTGTCTGACACTCGAAGACTGGGCTGGGGGTGGATGGGAGGAGGACGCGGGGGAGGAGTGGATACCGGCCACAGGGCCGGGCACCTTTCCCCAGGGCTCCATGTGGCCAGGCTTGCCCCCGGTAGAGGTCAGGAGTCCTAGGTGGTGGCGGGATGATCCCCTGGTGGCCCCGGGCACAGGACCAGGCAGGAGGCATGGCTTGGGAGGGGCGGTGAGTGATGGTGGTGGTTGGAATTTGTAGAGCAGCCCCAGGCGGGGTGAGGGCCTGGGCTGGGGTGGGTGGGGGAGATCAGAGGATCAGAGCTTTCTTTTTCTTAAGTGCAATAAATCTATCAGGGAGCTGGGGTGGGGAGCAGCCAGGGCTTGGAGACCCTGCTGTCCGGGCCACTCGAGGCTGTGCCCTGAGAGGCACTACAGCCCAGGGTGGGGGAGGCGCGGGTGTGGGGTGTGGGGCGGTGGGGGGGAGGGCTGCTCCTGTCGGTGCAGGTCTGCTCACACCTTTTCTAATAAACCAGAGCTGGGTTCCCCACTGGCCTGCTCTCTGCTTGTGCTGATCCTGGGCTCCCCCTGCGGGGGTTCTGGCACAGAGACGGGGAGGGCAGGGGCCAGGTGGGTTGTGGCCGCGGAACATCTGCTGGGGCGCGTGAGGATGGGCCCCACAGGAGAGGCGGGACAGGCAGGCCCCTTCTTGGCGCGCGCACCCACACTCCTGTGTCTGACACAGCTGGCCATCCCGTGTATGATCCCACTTCCACTTCCCTCTCTTCAGAGAAAACAGCCCCCAAATACCTTCCAGCTTCAGGTCCAGCTTCTCAGGGTGGTGGACCTGGCACGCGGGTCCAGAGGTCATTTCTCTGCCCGGTCGCCTGTGGTCCAAGGAGGACAGACACCAGCCTGTCGCCGGCAGCCCTAGATGTTCAGGCAGGAGGGCACTCTGCCCCGGAGCCTGGCCGGTCGCCTGCAGGCGCCGAGGTGCGCCCAGGGGGCTCTTGGGCATTTCTGGGAAATCTGAGTTTCATCCTTCAGAAAGGGCGAGAACCACTTACGGGGAAGGCCTTTGTGCCCACTCCTCCCCTGCATGGGAGGCCGGCCCGGGGTGGGTGGAGACGCGGTGGAAAGGTTATGAGAATCACGGCGTTGCCGATTGGGAGCCCGTTTGGTTCCAGCACAAACCCTGGAATCTTCTACCGCAGCTACCTGGGTGTCTGGGATGAACACCTTTCCTGTTTAGGCCACTTCCTGTTCGCTCTTCAGTCACCGACAGCTCCGGTGTCCTGACCGCTCCTTAAGGCAGCCACATTTGGGGCTCCCTCTCATCTGGGTGAGGGGCTGGGGGAAGCCACCCACGTCAGCCAGTGGCACCCGCCCCGCTGGCAGCCAGGGAGACACCCGCACAGTGTCATCCTCCGGCTGGCGCAGCTGTGCCCGGGTGTGAGGTGGGTGTGGAATGAGCCCCTCCAGGGTGCCCTGCCTCCTGCCCAAGTCTTCTTGGGGAGACTGGGGAGTGCGAGGTTTGCTTCAAGATGCTGAGAAACCGCAGTCCTTTGCCAGGTTGGGGTCTGTCAGTACAGTCCCCTAAGAATCTCGGTAGGCCTTTGGTCGCATCTAGCCATTGCTCAGGAATCCACCGAGGTGGGGGCTTTTGGCCCTTACAGCGGTGTTGGTTGCTTGCCCATCCCCTTTGCTCTCTGCCTCCACCTGCAGGCCAGGTGATCAACAGATGGCTGAAGGGAGGGGCGGGGAGGGTGCCTCCCCATCCTGTGGTGCCTGGGAGGGCCTGGGGTCCTGTTCCCAGCCTTGTCCCCGCCCTTCACTCTAGCTTGTGGTGAGGAATTCGGCCTTTTCCACTGTTCGTTCAGGGTTGAATTGTGCCCACCTCCCCACCCACCAAAGATATGTGAAGTCCTAATCCTCAGTACTGCAGGATGGGACTTTTCTTTGGAAATAGTGTCTTTATCGAGGTAATCAAGTTAAAAATGAGGTTATAGAGTACCCCAATCCAGTATGAAAAGGGGGAATTTGGAGACAGTGACAGAACAGATATGCTCAAAGGAAAGACGTGAGAACACAGAAGACCTTGGGAGGATGGAGGGCTTATGATGCAACCCCAAGTCAAGGACGCCAAAGACGCCAGCAAAGCACCGGAAGCTGGAAGAGGCAAGAAAGGGTTCCCTTATGGGTTTCCGCGGCCGTGTGGCCCTGACAACTCCTTGATTTTGGACTTCTGACTTCCAGAGCTGTGAGAAAATAAATTTCTGTTGTTCCAAGCTGCCCAGTTTGTGGAACTTTGTTACAACAGCCCCAGGAGACTAATAGACCAATTCTGCAATGCTCTGATTTTCCGATCTTTTAGGGGTCTTGGATCATGGAGTTAGATCCCTTCGGCCGAGTATTTTCTTACCTTTGCCTTCAGCCATCCAGGTATCGCCCAAGCTAGACGCTGTACCACATCTTAGATCTCGATGCCCTAACATGGGAGATGTTTGTTTTCCTGCATGTGGGTGTTCTGGGTGACAGGCACCTTCTCTCCACGAAGTGACTCCTGAAGCCAGGCCCCCGCGCCCTCTGGTGGCTCTGCCATCCCCTAGGGCCTCAGGAGACCCTGCATCCAGCAGGCAGGTGGGGGAGGAGAGTGGAGAAGGCAAACCTGCCTCTTAACTCGTTGCTTCAGTGGGAAACGGACACACGTCACTTCCACTCCCTTCTAGGTGCAAGTCCCCAGCAAAAGCCCCACACTGTAGGGGCCCATGAATGCCAGGGGACAGGGAGCCATCTTGGCCACACCCAGCCCCTCTGACCTACTGTTTTGTTCTTTTTTGTTTCTTTGTCTCCCAAAGCTCTAGCTTTGGCAGGCACACGGTCAGAGTCTAAGATAAATCGGGCACCAGTCTGACCACTGCTCGGCATCATGTAACGGCGCACAGCCTCCTCCTGGGGCCCGGGGGTGTCCTCAGTCCTGCTCCTGACCTCCAGCCAAATCTAAGGGTTAGTCCTGCCTCCCCAACAGCCCAACACTGCTGGGGCCAGTTTGTTTCCAGCCTGGACTCTGGGTGGTAAGAAACAGAAGCCCAAGTCAAGTTGGCTGAGGGAGCTGCGGGAAGCGATGTACGTTGTCTCCAGTAGCACGTCTACAGAGACGTCGGTCTAACAGCGTCATGAGGACCCGTGCGTCTCTGTGGTGGCTTCATTCTTGGGCAGGCTCTCCCTCTGCTGTTGGAAAACATCTCTCAGCACGCCCAGGATGGTGCCACTAGCTCAGCCATGCCAGGACTGCCAGGGCTTCATATGCTCCTCAACTTCCCTGTCCTCATCGAGGGGCTCCTTGGGTGGCCCTGGAGTGACCCGTAAGGCAGGTACCCCCTGGACAATCACTCGTCTGGTGGAGGTGGCGCTGCCGGCCCCAGCTGACTGGGGTGCTGTCGAGGCCTAATTAACCCATTATGCCAGGGGAGGAGCCACCCCGAGTGCAGTAGCCTGCTGAGGTCACTGGGGACACCACCCTCAGAAATGCCAGCTCCTGCCCCGCCCACAGAGGGGCAAGCTCGGATGTGGGGACAAGGGCCTGGATCCCCTGAGGCCTGGGTGCGCTCCACTGAGTCAGCTGGGCACATCCCTCTGTCCTTCATCTCCCCTGACTCCGCAGCCTCGCCCGCTTCCCCCACAGCCACTCCCGCGTCTGGGATGCCAGGGAGCAGGCTGCCAGCTGAGGCTGCCCGACTCCCTGGGGATGAAGTGGGCTTGGCAGAACAGGGCAGGTCTGGTGGCCAGTCCTCACTGAGCTGGGGAGACTGGGGCATGAAGACCAATCTGGGGTTTTTACATCTTCATTTATTGCACTTGAACCCCGAGTTCCTCATGGGTCCTTCTGCCCGGGCTCTCAGATGCTGTCACTGATACACTGCCCCACTCCTGGTGGCTACTGCCAACAGTTCTCTCTGGCTCACAGATTCACCTGGGGAATGTGGCCACCACAGGCCTCATTCCGGACACTGGACCCTGGGACTTGGACCCAGTTAGGCCCCCTACACCCTCATCTGGGCAGAAGGAAGTGTTGCCCTCTGCTGCGCCCAAGGTCTTCCATTCAAGGCCCACCTGGGCTAGACTGACCCCAAGTGAAGGGCACTCAGGCCATGGGTCTGGACTTGCCCCCGTCCTGGGGTTGGTGGGCTTCGCAGACACGCGCAGGAGCCTGGCCTGCCCAGGCCGCCCCGGGGGCGTGGTTGGCTCCGCTGGCGGCGTGCGGGTCTTTGCGGGCAGGGGACTCGGGCGGGCGGGGCGTCTTGAGCGTGCTGACGGCCCGGATGAGGCCCATGCGGTGGCGTATGGAGTGGTCCAGGTTAACCGTACAGCGCAAGAGGCTCTGCGCCTCGGCCACGGTGAAGGGGAAGTCAGCGCCCAGGAAGCGCCGGAAAAGCTCGGGGTCGCCGTCCAGGTCGAGCACCTTCTGCAGCGTCGCGGTCATGGTGTGCAGCTCGAGGCTGTGGTCGCAGAACACGTCCCAGAGGGGCGCGTAGGCTTCGGGCGCGCTCCCTGCCTGCTGCTGGTCCTCCAGGCACTGCAGGGCCCAGCTGAGACGGCACGGCCACTGGTTGGCGAGCACGACCCAAGCCACGGCCTGGCGCGGCGAGAGGCCCTCAAAGTCCCCCTGCTGCCGTTGCAGCAGGCGCACGGTGATGGGCACGGTGTTGACGATGCGCCGCATGGACACCACGTTGTCGGGCACGTAATCGATGAGGCAGTCGTACTCGTCGTGCAGGCAACAGAGCGCCTCCTGGATGCTGCGCGCCGCCTTTACTTCCAGGAGGCTTTGCGCGCTCTCGGCCCGGGCCGGCCCCTCCATCTCTAGGAGCGGCGCGACGTCTCCGCCCCCCGCCCCCGCCTCGCCCCCGGTCCCCGCCCCGCCCCCGGTCCCCGCCCCGCACCCGGTCCCCGCCCCGCCCCCGGTCCCGCCCCGCGACCTCACGTTGAGCGTCATCTCGCGATAGAGCAGGTCGTCGCGGCTTCGCACCGCATCGTGCAGGAACTGCAGTTTGGTGCGGCGGCCCATGATGGGCACGGAGAAGGGTAGCGTGACGGTGCGGTTGAGGAAGAGGTAACCGTTGTCGGCCGTGCCCTTCATGGAGCCGGCGCTCTCGAGGCACGCGGCCAGGATGCTGGGGTCCACCACCAGGATGAAGATGAAGGGCGCGTGGCTGTCGGACAGCAGCGTGTTGATGGCATTGAGCACGCCCACCACGCGCTCCGGGTAGCACGTGTCCAGCCCTGTGATCTCGAGCACGACGCGCAGCCGGCGCCGCTGGTAGATCTCCAGGAAGCACAGGAAGTCGGTGAGCAGCCCCACCTCCTTCTTCACCTCGCACATGAATCCCAGATGGCTGCTGAACCTCTCCTGCGACACCAGCCGCTCAATTCTCTTGCGCTGGCTCACGAACAAGTGCTTGCCCAGCGAGAACAAGGCCATGAGCAGCCCGGAGCTCGAAAGCGTGGTGGCCGCGCCGCCGAATGCCCGGAACATGTTGCCGTGGCCCAGTACGTGGGAGCTCATCGACAGGTAGAGCAGGCTCATGCCCAGGCTGAACGCCGCCAGCAGCCCCAGCATTGCCAGGCACACTCGGCTCCGGCAGTGCCACTCACGATGGCGGTAGTCCAGCCTCGTGGCCGCCTTCTTGCCCAGCACCGAGTACAAGCTGAAGGGCAGTGCGCCGTATTGCTGGCGGATGCCCTCGCACAGCGTGGCCACCAGGCCGGCCCACAGCTTGTCACTGCCTGCGTACTGCCAGGCGCTGAAACGGATGAAGAGGAATTTGACGTTCTTGCGCCGCAGATGCAACTCGGTGATGATGGGCTGCAGGAACACCAGGTACCACAGCAACTTCGAGAAGCCCCAGCCCCGTACGGGCCTCAGCTGCCACTGCACGTGCCGCAGCTCCTCGGCCTCCCTCTGGGTCGCCTCCTGCTGCATCAGCGCTGCCGGGACCGAGGGCGCAGAGGAAGGTGTGAGCGTCTAGACCCGGCTTAGGCCAGGCCAGGGCCTGGATGTTAGACGGGGAGCCAGGGCCCGTCTCCAAGTGCTGGGCAGGTGCAGAAGTGCAGGAGAGGCCTGGAGCCAGGCTTGAACAGGAAAGGGTCTGAGGGGGAATTGGGGGGGTCAGGGGAGGGCAGAAGTAGAGCCCCCAGAGGAGAGAGGACCGGTGGGGGCAGGGAGGGCTCTAAGAAATGAAAGAATGCATGCCAGGTACTGAGGAAGAGAAATGCTGGGCAGCAAGTGTACACCCTTGGTCCAGTTTTCCTGGCTTACTGCCTCTCCTCCAGCTCTCAGCTCAGTTATCACCTCTTCCAGGAAGCCTTCCCTGATCCCCAAGCTGGGTCAGGTGACCCTGGACTCCCCCACTGCAGTCCTGCCCTCTCTGGGTCATCCCTGTCTGGGGACAGCTCTGTCTCTCACGCTGGTCTGTGAGCCCAGGAAGGGCAGGGCCCTGGTTGTTTGGGCCACCCTGTGTCCCTTGGGTGCTGAGGAAGTGCTGGGAGGAATGTCTGGAGGATGGATCATGAGAGATTGGGGACATGATCTGCCTGCTGTGAGGGTAGTGAGTGAGCCAGTGGGAATGAGTCGGAGTCAGCGCAGAATAGAAGCTCTGTTTCCTTTTACCTTAGAGCTGAATCTTTTCTCCTTCCAGGACCTTGTTTGTTGCTCTGTGACAACACAGGACATGGGCTTGTTCGATAGGTGCTCACCAGGGCTGGGCACACGGAGGTGAGTCACCTCCGGCTTCTCTGGCCATGACTGGGGCTGGGGTCTGAGCTCCAGCAGCGTTTGAACCAGGCTAAGTTTCAGCTCATGTCTTCAATTAACATTATCTGTCAGGGGTCTTGTGGGCGCCAGGCCCTCGGCCAGGGCTGAGGAGAGGAGATAGGTCCGAGGAGCACAGAGGTCTGGAGGGACTTGGCAGGAGCCAAGCGAGGAACCTGGGCTTTCTCCCTAGGGTGCGGGGAGCCGTGGAAGGCTTTTGAGCAGGGGAAGGACAGGGCTAGATGTGTATTTTAGAAAGACTCCTTGCAGTGGATTTGAGGGGGGAGGGGGGCAAAGGCATAGGAAGGGACCTGGTTAATGCTGGTTTATGGGCGTCTGGCGGACTGGCCTCAGGGGTGAGCAGGTCTTAGGGAAGCCTGGGGCTGGGCAGGGACCAAATGTTCCGTTTCCCTTAATCCTCACCCATGATCTTGTCCAGCATCATGTGCAGGCGGCAGCCAAAGGGGGCGTAGAAACCCACGGTCACAGGGACAGGCACGTGGCAGAGAGTCTTGGCCAGGCAGCTGCAGTAGACGTCATCCTCTGTCAGGATATCTGGGGCCCGGGGGTGGGGAAACTGAGTCAATGACGCTGTCCAGGCACCACCCTGCTCCCCGTCTACCCTCCGGAGTGCTCGCCCTCAGCCCCTCCCGGCACCGGCACCCCTCCTCCCTGACTCCCAGCCATGACTCAGGTCAAACCCTCCGACAGAGAGTTTCTGCGGCCGCAGGCAGCCCCCTCCTTCAGGACCAGATGTGCCCTTCTGGGCCCCGGATCCACCAGGCAAAGGCCAGGAGGCCAGACCCACCTGGCCCTGGCCCAGAGGTGTGTGGGAACTTGGCTGCCCTGGCCCCAGGTCACCGGGATCATGGTTCCCCTGGGAAAATCCCACAGGCTTTTCTTGAGACTCCCGGGCCCTAAGATACCGCTGTACACGCTCAAAAGTTCCGCCGAGTCCGTTCCTTTCTGCTCTGCTAGCCTGACTCAAGCGTGGGCAGGCTCCTCGGCTGCCCGTCCACCCCTGTGCCCACAAGTCACTAGTTCCGCCCTGAGCCCCAGGCAGACGCGTCCTCTGGTCCTGGCCCCGCCACCTTTCCCCGCATGACCCAGGCAGAGCGATGCCTCTGGGAGGCACCTTGGACCTGTAGTCAGGGCACCAGAAAGGTAGGGCTCAGTTGGCGGCAGGGCAGGGGGGGAGGCCAGGCCAGCCTCACGGTGTGTGGTGGGGATGACACGCCCACTTTCATAGAGGCCTGGTGGGCTGCAGCATCCATCCCTCGCTGGGGGCCAGCGCTGGGCCTGGAGGCACAGCTGGGAGGGCAGGAGGCAGACTCGGGCCAAGGTCAGCTGAGGTGGCAGCTGGGGAGGACCTGAGCCTGCTCTGCCTGGTCAGTGGCTGACCTCACCTCGCCGAGCCTCTACCAACCTGTGTGTGAAACGGGCATCGAGGCCCCGAGGCTATAGCGACGGGGTTGTGCCTGACCTGGAGCCGAGTCCCCACTCAGCTGTGCTCTGCTTTCAAACCCGACCTGGAGACTGCCACCTCCCTGGTCAGGTTGCCGGCACCCCTCGCCGGGACTCCTGCTTTCCGCCCTTCCTCCCACAGTCAACTCTCAGGTCACATCCCGAGTCAGCTCTGGGCCCTTGTGGCTCCCACCTCCCCAGGGGGAGAAGGCTGAGCCCTCACCACGTCCGCGAGGCCACCTTCCACCCTCTCGGAGCCCGTCTGACCCTCGTCTTCACCTCCCCTGATCCAGCCGCGTGTCCCTCCGTGTTGCCCCGTGAACAGGCCACCTCAGAGTCTGCACTTGCTGATCCTGTTGCTATTTACTCGAGAGAACTGCCCCATCTTTGCTTAAATGCAGACTTGATGGGGCCTCGCCAGATGCCCTTGTTTAATTTGCAAACCCCGTTTCCTCTCCCTGCTTTATTCCTCCCCCCCAACGTGGTTGTCACCCGGCGACACACTTTTGAACTTCCCTGTTTATCTTTTGTCCTGTACCCGCCTCCCGCCACCGCCTATAGAACGTGAGCTCCACGAGGGCAGAGATCTCTGTCTGCCCTGCTTCCTGTGACACCCCCAGAACAGAGCCTGGCGCCCCTGTAGGCGACCAGTACCTGGTCACAGAGTGAATGAATGAATGAATGAATGAGTGGGTGGGTGGGTGGATCCCTCCCATGGCTGTGTTGCTCTCTCCGTCCCTCGGGCCACTCCCTACCTCTTGCTGCAGCTGCACTCCCCAACACCAGAGCAAGCTGGTGTTCATCCCCCGCTGCCCCAAGTCAGGAGGGCTGGGGAGAGAGGAAGCAGAGCAAGGGTGTCACAAGCTGGGGCCCGGGCCCCTGGCCCGCCCGGGATGGAGGCAGCATGGACAGGCCTGGCCTGGAAGCCTTGGATCCCAACGGGTGAAGGAGCAGCGGCTGCCCAGAGGCCCAGTGTCAGGGACGAGCGCCCTCCCTGACAGGAACCAGAGTGAGGGCTGAGGAGGGCAGGCCCCAGGCCTAGGTGGGAGGCGAAGTGGCAGGGACAGAGCCCCGGCAAGGGAAGGCTGGGTGAGCTCTGGACCTGTAGGAGGTGAAGGAGCTACGGTTTACGGTGTCAGGCAGGTGCCAGGTGTCTGTGGGCCTCCTGGGCTCCAGGAGGGCGTTGGCTGCAGAGGGCAGGGCTGGGCCGCTGCTGGCTGTGGTGCGTGCCGCAGCGGGTGAGGGGGTGCGTGTGGGGGCCGGCTGGGGGGTGCTGGCTAGTTGCATGGGGCGGTAGTGGTTGCAGGCGGCCCCTTCTGGGTGCCGTGAGCGGGGCAGAGCCGCTGCCATGGGGGGCTGGGAAGTGCGGGCTGGGATCGCCGCTGCAGAACAGGGGGCTGGAGGCCCCGGCGACAGCCATCGCTACCCCATGGTGGCCTAGCATGCCTGGGGGGTGGCGACAGGGCCTGTAGGCTTGAGGTGCCGCTGGGTCATGGTACTACTGGTGACAGCATCCTGGAAGGAAGGAAGTGGGGGGTGACTGGGCCTGAGTCCCTGACCCCTGAGGGGCACTGGCAGGAACCAGGTCAGGTCTTCAGGAGGAGGCTGGGGCTCGTCACTCAGCTGAGGCCCAGGAGAAGTCAGAAGACGAGGAGGGGCTGTGGGCCGAGGCGGGGCCATGCCCTGCGCTCTCCCACGGCTGGGGCAGGGGGTGGGGGGTGGGAAGAGGTGCAGGGGCCTGGGCTTTAGCTATGTGAGGAGCTAGAGGGGGGATGATGCCCCCAGAGCTTCTGCTACCCCAAGTTCTTCGGTCCCTGGGGTGTCCCCAAGTGGGGGGGCGGGCGGAGAGGACTCCACTGGGAGCTGGCCTGGCTGGTCCACAGGAGGCCAGAGTGACGAGACGTGACTGTGGAGGGGGACAGGGTGGGGACTAGGAAGGGGGCTGCCCTGGGAGGCCCCGAGGAGGCTGGATCAGCCCTGACAGGAGTAGCTGCCCCCTCCTCGCCCGGAGCAACAGCGACTGCGGTCACCATGGGCGTCTAGACCCCCTCCTCGTTCATACACACTCAGTGTGGGCTGCGGGCTTGCCCTCCGACCCCTCCCGCCCACCGCACTGCTCCCCCCAGGTTGTGGGGCAGTCTCCACAGGCCTGGCGATTTGGGGAGGGAATTCTGTCCACGCCAGGGGCAGGGGCAGGCCAGATGGGCCCCCACTGCTGGCATCCCCAGCCCAGGCTCCCACCTCCGGCCTCCCAGGGCCTACGGTCCCCACGGCCCCCTGTGCAGATGCCTCCATGGTGCGCCGGTGGCTTTTCCCTCCGGGGGCCTGAAGTTCTGCTTGGCCTTCCACTCAGCAGCCCCCCACTCACAGGTCTCTCTTGCGATCAGGGCCGCCCAGACTGAACCCCTACCTTTTTGGTGCCCCAATTCCCTGTCCGAGCAGTAGTGCTTGGTGGGCGTCCGGGGGGGCAGGGCACCCTTGGTGAAGTGGATGGTGTAGTGCTGGTTCATGGCGGCGGGGGGCCTGCTGGGGGTGGGGACGAGAGGCGGGCTCAGTACCCAGCCCCCTCGGGCGCCAGCAGCAAGAACCCACCCACCGGACGGCCCCGAGACCTGCGATAGATGAGACCTCATCCCGGATGTTGGGGTCCTGGGCTACCCAGGTGGCATGGGGGTGCTCTTCAGAGTAACAGGGAGAGGTCAGGATGGGGGGACGGGACAGCCAGGCGCGCGACAATGAGAACGCTTGGGGGGGGTTGGGGGGTAATTTGGGGTGGGTGAGATTTCCAAGGCCTGGGTGTTCGGGAGCTGCTGGGAGTTTCCAAGAGGCTGGGACAGTGCGGGTGCTGAGCCGACGTGGGCTGGGAGCCAGGGGCTGGCTGAGTAAGATCAGGGGGGAGCTGGGTACTGGGCGGGTGCGCTGTGGGCGGTGGAGGCCGGCACCCTCTGAAGGGACTTGAAACCAGTGCGGTGAGAGGCGGGGAGCAGCGAGCCACCGGGCAGGCGAGCGGCTGAAATGTCAGGGCTGAGACATTTGGGACCTAATGAGGGGTTGGAGGGAGGGGCCTCTAGGGGAGCAGATGAAGTCGGCGTGGTCCAGTCTGGGGAGAGGCTGAGCAAACTGGGGATGAGGCGGGGGGCACTGGGTTTAAAATGTGAGGAGCGGAAGCGAGGGAAGGAGGCTGTTGAGAGGCAGGCACGGGAGAACCCGAGGGGCAGAAGAAACGGGGGTGAGAGCTGGAGTTGGTGAGGGTTGGGGGCCTGGCGCGTGGCCCCTGCCCACCTCATCCCCCCGGCCTGGGGTCCCCCATACCTGATGGCAGCCTCGCAGCCCCAGCTCCCTGCCCCGCTGCTGCCGCCAGCCGAGCCGCTGTGCCAGCCCCACCGTCTGGCAGCATCAGCGCAGGCCAGACTGGTGAGAGGCCGGGAGCTGGGAGCCAGGAGCCCAGTGGCCCGACCGGTTTGCCCACCTTGTCCCCGCCCCTTCCCAGCAAGCCTGCCCAGTCCCTGTCCCGTGGGCTCAGCTCTCAAGGACTGCGGGCTGCCGCTGCCCCCCCACCCCACCGCGGTACCCCAGTAAGGGATGGAGATGGCAGGCCACGCTGCTGCCCAGGGCGGGACCCGCCGGAGGGTCTGCCGGTCTGGGCACTTACGCTGTGGGAGGGAGGGAAGCTAGGATACGGATTTGGAGTCCAGGCCCAGAGAAGATGCAGCCCCAGGTTCAGGTGCCAGCTCCTCCAGGGCCCAGCCGTGTGAGCTCGGGCAGGTGACTTCACCTCTCTGAGCCCCGGCTTCCTCGTGGCTGAGCAGGCCGGCGTCCGTGCCTGCCTCTCGTGGTTGTCAGGAGTCCCAAGCCCAGAGCCCGGTGCTCAGCAACAGTGGCGCCAGCTGGCCCATTTGCCAGCTGCTCCAGATGCTTCACATAAAATGACGACGACACGCGCGTTCCAGGCTCACCAGGAGCCGTGCTCAGCGTACATGCTTCTCTTTTTTTGACTCCAACACGTGGATTGCGGGATCTTAGTTCCCCAACCAGGGATTAAACCCAGCCTCAGCAGCGAACGGGCAGAGTCCTAACCACTGGACCTCCAGGGAAGTCCCAACATGCTTTTTTATCTTCAGTAACCTCTTTCCTCGTTGCCACGCTCCAGTGCGGCGGGGGTGATGCCCCCTTTACAGGTGAGGAAACGGAGGCCTGGACTGGGGAGTCCCTTGCCCCGGGTCTTAGGGAGGCAGAGCCAGGCTTTGCAGGCAGTGGTTTGTGCTGGGTAGGTGGAGGTGCCTTGTGGACGTTCTTCGAGAGGTGAGAGCAGGGTTGGGGGTGGGGATGGCTGGGCAGGAGGTACCTTAGACACAGTGTGTGTGTGGGGCCCCTCTGCTCCCAGGGTCCTGTCTCCCTGTGGCTGCTGCTGGCGTGATGGGTCGAACAGAGGTTCGTTCCCCCGGGAGATGGGGGAGGCAACCACAGAGCTGTGCCCAGTGGCCAGACACTGCCCCCTGTAGCCCAGCTGTGCCCCTTCCCTCCCCTGGGCTACTACTCTCTCCCCTCACCAGGCTTTCAAGCAACTTCCTCCTCCCTGTCCTCTGCCACTTTAGGACTCTGCCCCCCTCGCAGCACCCCTGCCCCATCAGGGAGGCCAGGCTGGTGTGTCTGAGTGGGGGTGTGGTGAGTCTGGGGGGGATCCTCCAGGACAGCCCGGAGTTCTTGAGGGCAGGGCTGGGCCGATCCCCCGCCTGTCCGTGCGCGCACAGTTTAGCTGAGTGACTGCGATTCATTTGGGAAACATCTGCAGGCTCTGTGCTGGACAGTGCCAGCACCCGGCTGAGGGACCCAGAGGGACCCACAGGGAAGCGCGGCGGGACATAAACAAGTAAACACGGCGGCAGGGCAGGACAAGGCAGTCTAGGAGCCCCCCCACCCCCCCAGGGCTGCAGGCGCCGGGCGAGTGAGCAACTGCTCCGAGGGATGTGGTGGGCAGCTGAGGCTGGTGGCTGCTGGACACCGGAGAGGGAGCAGGAGTTTGGGGAGTGGGCCAGGCAGGGAATGGCATGTGCAAATGCACGGAGGCAGGCCAGGGACCCGCGGTGCTCAGCTGTGTGCGCTGGGGAGGGGCCGGATGGGGTGTCTGCAGAGGAGCCCCACCCACTGAGGAGACCCCTCCTCCTCCCGTCTGGGTCTGTCGCAGCCTCGGCGTGCAGATCTGAGGTGGGGGTACTTACCCACATCAGGCAGCAAGTGGCAGAGCCTGGCAGAGTCCAGACGGGTGATGCCCTCGGATGCTATGAATGTACATTGGAGGTGGCGGCAGGGGGTGGGGTGCAGGCATGGAGGCCGAGCTGCCCAGGGACTGGTCAGCCTGGCCATTGCTCTTTTCTTGGTATGACTCGCATCTGCCAGGCACATGAACTGTGTGTGTGTGTGTGTGTGTGTGTGTGTGTGTGTGTGTGTGTGTGT